TCCTATTAAGCAAATCATAACCCAGCTTATTTCTCGCTCTTGTGCAGATTCCCATGCAAACTTCCTCACTAAATGTGCTTATCCATTATGGAAGAATTCGGATTTCTTTATCCATCTTCCATTCATCAAAAGCGAAGATATCAATCCCACTAAAGCTAGTCATTCTGACATGTCACCAGAACATCTCAGTCTAGCCCAACAAGAATGTACTCAGCTTTTATCTCAAGGATTGATCGAACCCACAGACTCTTAATGGGTATGTGAAGCCTTTTATGTCAATAAACGTGCAAAACAGGCCAGAGGAAAACTCAGACTTGTTATCAATTATCAGCCATTGAATTTCTTTCTCCGTGATGATAAATTTCCTCTACCTTCCAAACAAGTTCTCTTTGCAAATCTCCATAATGCAAAGATGTTTTCCAAATTTGATCTCAAAGCTAGATTTTGGCAACTTGGAATTCATCCTGATGATCGTCATAAGACTGCTTTCTGTATTCCCAACCAACACTAACAGTTATGCCTTTTGGACTTAAGGTCGCTCGTTCCCTGTTTTAGAAAGCCATGACGAAGATTTTTGCTCTCTTTTTGCATACATGTCTCATTTATATCAATGATATCCTTCTCTTTTCCAAAGATGAGGAATCTCATATACGTCTTCTTCGTGACTTTGTTGATATCATCCACACTTATGGTATCATGCTCTCTGAGAAGAAAATGCAGTTAGGGCAAACAAAGATTGATTTTCTTGGAATGGTGATTGCTGACGGCAAGTATGATCTTCAGCCTCATATTGCTAATGAATTGTGAAAATTCCCAGATGTTCTCACAACCAAAAAAGAAATACAACAATTCTTGGGAATTGCTAATTACATGCGCAGTTTCATTCCAACATTTCTCATTTCACTACTCCACTTTCCTAGATGCTTAAGAAGAATCCTCCAAAGTGGTCTGAAAAGCAAACAAATGCAGTCAAGAATCTTAAGTGTACATCCTTCCATACACAGTCGTTGAAGATTCCTTCTTCTAGGAAATGAATTCTTCAGACAGATGCTAGTGATACTCATTGGGGTGCTGTGCTTTTTGAACAAGATGAGGACAAGGTACGAAATTTGTGCGGATACCAGAGTGGACAATTCAAACCACACCATGAGCATTATCATTTTACTTTCAAGAAAGTATTAGCAATAAAAAATGCTATTGAAAGGTTTGAATTCCACCTTGTTGGACATCATTTCTTTGTTGAAACGGATATGAAGTCTTTTGATCAAATGTTCGATTCAACAAGAAAAAGGTTCCGCATCAACAATTACTTCGATGGGCAGAATAGTTCAACAAATATTCCTTCACCGTCCAACACATCAAAGGTCACACCAATACCATTCTAGATTATTTATCTAGACCTAAAACTAAACAAGTCGGTTTCATGAACCCTAGATCCAAACCTCTTCCTTGTTTTATGTTCCAACCATTAACCCAGTCTAATTCATGTTCATCATCTTCTTCACCAAACCATACTCTAGACGTACCTCCTGAATTCAATGACCTTGTTCGAACGCGTACCATTGATGAAAATGCTACTACCCTCATGTTTTCTTATCAGATTCAATGTATTGAAAAATGTGGACAATCCATATATGATATGTTAGGTGTCCATCCAGACTACCCATTTTCAAAAATCTTTTGTTTACCTCTAGGTCTTGATATCATATTTCCAGAAGAATTATAATGGTTCTTTTGGTATATGTTGCACCAGTACCACATTGCCATTCAATTCCCGATCCATCATATGTTGAAAATAATTTCCCAATATCAGTTATCCTCAACCTTTGAATTACGCTCTTTAATGACCTTTCTCCGATGGTTCAAAACCCTCGAAAAATGGAAATCTGTGTTTGCTCATCAGCTTGCCTAGTACAAAGGTCCTATGTCTACCAAAATGGCATGGTCTATCATGTTTTTTCACAGACATCACTCAATCAGATTCGATGGCCTATATTTTTTATAGCATCAAGTCACATTTCATCACTCTTATGCATATGACCTCATCCATAATACGTTTGACCATCCTGTCAAGATTAGATCAATTCAAAAAATCTTTTTTGAAAAAAATCAAATCATTCCAGACGAAATATGGCCATCCTTTCGCAATGATGCTCCGTGGGAACTCTTTCCTCCAGACTACACTGAGAAATTACTCCAAGCCAAACAGACATGCATACGTTTCATCAATGCTCAATTCGATGCCAATTCAGATTATCCAAAATGGTGGTACCTAGACTCACAGCCAGATACTGTGCAGGAAGAAGAGCTTCAGCAGTCTCGTGATTACTATCTCCGTAAATCCAGGCGACAACAGTACATGCATGCACCAAGTACTTCTACAAAGAAACCATTTCATATTCCAGACATTTCTTCGGATACTCATCCAGATACATCTTCCCGACAAATCCCTGTTAACTGGATTCAATCAATGGGTTGTCTCGATTTCCAAGATGAAGACTTGTGACACGTTACCAACCTGTTAGACGATTAAAGATCTATGTGTCTTAAAATAAAAGGTTGTGCCCTTTATGTAAAATAGGGGTGGACTAAATGGCAATTGGCCATCTCAATGTAATATCTCTCGTATCCTTTGTAAAAAGTCAAGTATTGTAGACTTATGTTTTGTCAAGGATTGTAGGCTACTTAATTTAAAAAAAAAATCAAAAATCAAAAGTCAAAAAGTTTAGTCTTGTATTCAATGACTCATTTATGAGTGGTTGTATCTCTTATCTATAAATAAAGTCTTTTACCTTCTTGGTAGGAGGAGGCACTTTGTAAAACTTTGTTTATTTCTCTCACTTTTCACTTCCATATTTTCTCTACACATCTTTCCCATAATTCTTCCATGTTTCTTTCATATTTCTAACTTTCCCTCAACCTCCAGGGTGTTGTAATATTCTGATAATGTTACGGATAATAAAAGATCCCATATATGTTTTAATTTATGTTCTTTAACATGTTTAATATTATATGTTTTCATTAACGTTCTTGTTCTTCATTTTTGTACATGTTCTTCATTTATATTCATGTTCTTCATTTATGTTGTTGTTTAATATTCACTAGCTCTTTTAGATGATGTTAGAAGTTGTGTGGGTGTACGTGTGTGTGGGATAAAAGGAGGGCCTTGACCATTAGTTCGACCGATCGTTGTGTTGATTGGTTTCGCTTATGTCGGCTATCATAGTTACTAGACCTTAGAGATGCTATCAAAAAATCGTGAAGTTTATGCATGTGGGAAACTATGATAGCCGACCTAAGCGAAACCAATCAACACAATGATCGGTTGAAATAATGGTCAAGGCCCTCCTTTTATCCCACACACACGTACACCCACACAGCTTCTAGCATCATCTAAAAGGGCTAGTGAATATTAAACAACAACATAAATGAAGAACATGTACAGAAATGAAGAACAAGAACGTTAATGAAAACATATATATTAAACATGTTAAAGAACATAAATTAAAACATATATGAGATCTTTTACTATCCGTAATATTATCAGAATATTACAACACCCTGGAGGTTGAGGGAAAGTTAGAAATATGAAAGAAACATGGAAGAATTATGAGAAAGATGTATAGAGAAAATATGGAAGTGAAAAGTGAGAGAAATAAACAAAGTTTTACAAAGTGCCTCCTCCTCCCGATAAGGTAAAAGGCTTTATTTATAGATAAGAGATACAACCACTCATAAATGAGTCATTGACTACAAGACTAAACTTTTTGATTTTTTTTTTTTTTTTTTTTTAACATTAAGTAGCCTATAATCCTTGACAAACTAAGTCTAACATACCTTGACTTTTTACAAAGGATACGGGAGATATAACATTGAGATGGCCAATTGCCATTTAGTCCACACAACGCAACTTGAAAATGAATATAAGTTACAGAAATTGCGGAAGGTCAGTATAAATTTTAAGTTTAAATAGGTGATCTTGATAATATTCAGGTGAAATATTGACACTGAACATCAAAGACATGTCTGCAAAAATAATATCAATTATACAAAGTGATGATCTTGAAAATATAATTAGACCATTTAATATTCAGGTGATCTTCTCAAGTTGAATGAATGATTTAATGACATCTACCTATAATTGATATTAATAATTATACATATATAATTATTAATTTTATCTTAACACAAGTTTGTATATATATAAAATGTATACTTACTTTCTTTAAAATTTGTATAATTTAACAATTATTCTGTCTTAATCTAATTAGTTTATTTTGTTAGAATAAATTTGTTTACTATCTATTTTAAAAATATTAAATAAATATACCCACATAACATGCGAGCCCTATGTCTAATTATCGTAGAATACCATAAATATATTATACCGTTTGAGTTGGACTTGAAGAGTAAATTCAAACCAATCCAATGGTATCTTAAACCCAAACCAAATCGCTTGGTATGGTTTGTGGAGTTAAATACATTTAGGTCCTTAAGGTTTGGCCTAAGTAATAGTATGATTTAGTAGAATCTAATAGTATGTAAGGTAACATCTCTTTAAATTTTTTTTAAAGTCTAAAATACCTCTAATATTTTCATATGTAAATAAATGAAAAATTAAATGGCTACTAAGGGAGAATTCTAATTTAGAACAATTCCATTAGTTATAAGAAAATAAAAAATAACATATTAAGGGTATTTTAGACATTTCTTGAAATTTGGCAAAAAAAAATTATTTTACTAAGACCATACCTCGGGGACCAAAGTGGATTTAACGCGGGTTTTGGGGTTTCTATGTTTCTTCGCACACCCCTTCTTGAGAGTGAGAGGAAGGAATAGAAATTGACCTTATTTAGAAAGATTGAAATAACTAGAATCTCATACTCTAATCAAACCCTAAAGAGTTGAAACTTCTCATGTCAACCCCAAAACACCTAAGGGAAAAGTATCGTCAATTCGTCACACAGCATCTAACAAAGATATTTTTATAACTAGACCTAAATGTAAGCAGAAGTCTTCTCCTTTCCCTACTTCTCTCTCGCTCTCGCTTTCGCTCTGCTACTCAAAACCAGACAATGCTAAAACCCTCATTTTCGTCACCTTCAATCTCAGCACTCTCTCATTGCGCGCGCTTTTCTTCTCTCTTTCACTCCATGTAAGTCCTCTCTTCTTCTTCTTCTTCTTCTTCTTCTTCTTCTTCGATCTGACCTGCCAAGAAAGTTCGCTTGCTTGGGAACTTGTTGTTTTTCAGGGTTTTCTTTTTATTTCCTTTTTGTTTGGTTCATTGTTCTTGAACTGAGAGTTGAAACTACTGCAAACGAACAGTGAAGTTGTTGATCTTCGAATTAGGGTTTTTTTAGGGTTTTCTGGGGGTGGGTTTTGTTTGATCTACTGAAAGGGAAGATTATTTAATTTTTTGAGTTATTGGGAGTTTGAAGTGGGTTAGGATTAGTTTCTGCCTAGAAAACCGGTTTTTTGCTGTTTAGCGGGTGGTGTAACGGTTTTTCTTTGAGATTTAGGCGCCAATTCCTGTTATAGTTGCTGGATGTAATTTCATTAGTGGAAATTATTATGTTTAATGATTGTGAATTGAATATATTGTTATGTTATTCATGATATAATATGAATTCGCTAAGTGGTTGATTTATGGTTTATGTTGTTAATTTTAATTTTAGGTCGTGAATATTGAGCTTCTGAGTTAATTTATATAAGTGCATTGACAATCTACTCGGCGATTGACTTATTTTATAAGTGCATTTACAATCTACCAGGTAATTGACCGTACTGTATCCATAGTAGGTAGCTAATGGATAAATTTTCTATGCCTCTGTTTGAGTCTTTAGTCTCTTATCGTTATGCGCAGGTGAAATTCTTAGAGGCTAGGAGACTGGGTTATTAGACTAGGTTGTGCTTTAGTTCTATGTGTCTCAATAAGAGTACATTTACCTGGGTGCTAATATTAAGTATAATTTTTCTGCAGTATATTAACAAGGTCAATGATGGAGGGATTATCAAGTGCATTCAAAAGTGACTGATGCGATTACTTTTGCAATGGCATTCTATCCTTCCACAAGAAAATTTTTGGATATTAGCACAAATAAATGGATTGTTTCATTTTGTTAGAGTGGAGACATACCAAAAATTTTGAGATAGCACCATAATACCTGAGTCATAGTTCAAGACAACTGAATCCGAACCTACCGAGTAGCTTTGACTGACATTTTTGGTGCTCAACTGGTCAGGCCAAGTGAGCAGCTGGGAGACTTATCATAATTGCTAAAGCAATACTACGGGGTTTATTTCTTTTGCCCTTAGAGATAGTGGAAGTCTGTCTGCTGCCATGATGAAACGAGGAATGGGCCTGCAAGCGATAGCATATTTATGCTATTGAAAATGCAAAAATTGAATTGATTATTGTGCGTGACTTTTGGTTGATCATATGCTAGTTTTGTTACTTGTAGTTGCTTGTGAAGAGAGAGAGGATGTTAGACAAGCTTGAAAGAGCACGGCGCATGAAACCTTTATGATATATGAAAGTTCCTAGCAGGTTATGGAGTGGGGTGTAACGTTATCCAGTTTGTGCTGGATTGGATTTGGAAATTGGACATATAATCCTTGCTTGTGGTGACAATTATTTTGTATGATATTGGGGAAAGATAATTGAATGCCATCCCTAGTCATAGAAGTAGTGGTTTGCTTTTGAGTGGAAGACACTCTATTTACATGCCAAATAAGTTAGCTTTTTGAGCCTGGTATTTCAGAGGAAATTGATGTGAAATTAGGTCATTCACGGTTGGCTTGTACAGCTAAGAGATGCCTTTTGTCTGTAGCATTTGACTGGTGATTGGTAGTTTTTCCATTTTTTAATTGTTCTTATACTTCTAAGAGATGCTTTTTACCGTAATTTGCAGGATGACTTATGGTGTAGCTTCTTGCTTAATAACATGATTGCTATTTATGCGAAATCTCATCTATTACCAGTCTAGTTCAAGTTTTCTAATCCAAGTTGGATTTAGGGGATAGCTTCATAGAGTTGCCCCTTCAATTCTTATTTTTTGTGGTATCTTTCATCTATTATTAAAAAAAAAAAAAAAAAAAAAAAAATTATTTATCCATTTTATGATCCTTCATTATATTTGTATCCTGAAATGAAACTGAAGAAAAAAGTGAGTTTTTTTTTTTTTTTTAATTCAAATGTAGGGACTTTTGAGGAGGTGCTTAATATTGTAGTCATCAGATGTAACTTCTTGTTGCAGAGGAGAGTTGTTTCTACGTGTTCTATATATTTGCTCTTTCCTGTATGTCTAGTACTAGTCCTTGAAATTCTAATTTATTTTGTTGGCCTTGTCCATTGACTCTAGAAGTGTTGGGATGACCGGTTGAAATGGAATAAGAAAAAATATTATGTAGTGTCTCTGACTTGAAAATTGTTCTGGGATTAAATGTTTGCTCAACACTTTGCACTATTTGAACAGTTGCAGATTTGAGAAACAAAGGAATTAAAATGATGAAGATGGATGTTATATTATTTACCTCTGTTAAGACATTGTTTTTTTACTTCCTCCAGATTATACTGCTTTTGATCAAAGTGAAGCTGGACATACTTCTGTAACGTGATGAGTGGGAGTAGCAGAAAACGCAATTCTAAATGGGATATGAAAGAAGAGTCCCAACATTCACATGAAAATGTACGAGACAATGCTTGGCCTCGGAAAGCAGGTATATCTTTTCATGACAAAGAATCACGGTCTGGATGGTTTTCCCCCAAGGGTGGTGGCTATAATAGTGGCCACAAGTGGTCCTCTAGGGAAGATGACATGCTGAAATCAAGGCGTGATTCACGATTTCCATCTAGGGAACCTTTGCCTGGAAGCAGAGGTTCACTGAAGGAGGATTGCATCGATGACTATCGGGAAAGTTTCAGAGCCACAACTGCATGGGATGGAGAAGGGAGTTACAGCATGAAAATGTCTCCTGGCCTTGATGACTGGAGACAACAAATTCGTCGCCACTCCCCAAGAAGTGATTGGAATGGACCTCACAGGTCTGATTATCTACTTAATGGAACATTATTGACCAAATTAATCTCCTTTTGTAAATATCTTATTCTTATCTTGATTTTCTATTGTGCTTTTAAAACGGCTTCATTGGATACATGCTACAATTTATCTGTTATATACTACTGTCCTTGATGATATTAATAACTCTGAACACAAACAATTGCTTCCCTAATACTTCTCTTTTGAAATTATTGTGGTGTGTTTTCGCTTAATTTTATTTATCTGTTTTAAAGTCTTAATTTGTTCATGATTTTTTTCTTGTTAGTTCCATTTTTATACTTGATTTGTTGATTTGTTTGTTTTATTTCAGGAGTTTTCCTATGAATAATGTGGTATATGAAGTTTAGTATTGGAACAGTGTATGTTTTTCCCTCCATGAGATGTTTCAGAATTAATTGGTTTCTTACATCTGCCTTTCTTTGATGTTTATGTGCAGAAGTAGAAGCCGCAGCCAGAGCCGGAGCCGGAGCCGAAGTTGGAATCGGAGTAGAAGCCCAGTCCGTGGATTTAGGCAAGAATCAGACATCTATGTCAGAAACAGGGAAAGATCAGGAGTATCAGCTCAATTATGTAAAGATTTTGCTGCTGGGAGATGTAGGAGAGGAAATAATTGTCCGTTTTCTCATCATAGTAGTGAAAGTTATGAGGAGAGTAGGGAAAGTAGACATAGGAAAGCTGGAGCTCCTAAGTATTCCATTCCTCATGAATCCAGGGAGTATCCAATGAGGAGTGGAAGAAACAGGGATGCATCTTTGGAGCGGGGAGGTGACCATGATTCCCGTAAGAATGGTGATATACCCTGCAAATTCTTTGCTGCGGGAAATTGTCGCAATGGGAAATATTGCAGATTTTCTCATAGTGTTCAGGCAAGTCCTAATAGAAGGTCACGGGATAACAACTTGGTGCGGCGAAGCCACAATTTAGATGACAAAGATAAATTATGGAATGGTCCAACGTGGAGTGACACCAACACATTCACTGATACTGTAAAGTTGAGTGATGAAAAACTTGAAAGGATGGGTGACAGAAGGGCAAGGGATGATAGGTGGTCACGGAGCCATAATTCAGATGACATGGAGAAAGTATGGGAGGGTCCAAAATGGGGTGGTAAAGACAAACCAACAGATACTGCAAAATTGATTGAGGATCGCAATGAAAGAATGGGATCCCTTGAACCAAGGTTCTCTGCTTGGTCTGCAGAAGGTAGATGGCCTCACAGCTTGGATGAGAATGCGGCACGTGCTGACCAAACAGCAGTTAGTCATGGAGCGGTTGAGAGCAACAATATGGAAGCCCTACAATGTAAAATGAAAAATTCTAGTGTTGGCATGGTAGTTTCTGAATCAGGAGGTACTGAAAATTGGCTTGGTGATATGGAGATGTCTCCTGAGTGGAATTATAGAGTGCAACCTTCCAACCGTGCTTTAAAAGAAGAGCATGGTCATATTACTCAGAGTTCACAATCTCTAGCTCTTGGTGATACCTCTGTACTCAGTCGTGAACAGGAAATAAGTCGTGAAGCTTCAGTTCAGTTGCATGATGCATCTTCATCTATGCAACCGATGATAATTGAAAAGCCTTACTTCAAGCACGACTATAATCAGAGAGAAGGTGGTGGTGTTGCATTGCCTGGCAGTGATAAGAATGCTTTTGGAAGAACTGCTACTTCACACATTGATCTAAATTTTTCTGCCAGCCTCTTGCCAACGCCAAGCTTTGATCAGAATGGCCAGATTCCAAGTACTCTACCCTTAAGCTTAAATTCCTTTGGACAAAGCCAAGGTGCAATCACTTCTGAACCTTCTGGAGGACATATGAAAATTCCTCAAACTCACACACTGTTTCCGGAGGAAAAATCAATCAACAAATCGGATACTGTGGATACAAGTGCATCACAATTTAGTTCTGGAATTAAGCCAACTCAAGACGTGGTCGGCAGTGAACAGCTCACTCAGCTTTCGGCCTCTCTTGTTCAGTTTCTTGGAAATCAGCAACAGCTTCCACAAATTTATGCTGCACTTAATACTGCTAATTTGGTCCAAATGTCTCCATCTGCAAATGCTGAAGGTTCTATTGAACCAGATTCTGCTGTGATCTGTCAGCCGAATGAAGCCATTAAATCCCATATGCAGTATGACCCTTTATGCGATAGCATTGACTCCAAGAAGCACAATGCTGTTAACCTCCCACCATTTTCAGTAAAGCCTGTTGGACAGAAAATCACTGTGGATGTAAAGCCAGAGATTCCGAAGGGTGGTTCAGAAGAACCTTCTAAGAAGAGCCAAATATCAGAAAAGCTGGAACTAGATGCAGATTGCAAGGTTAGTAGCAACAGTGGGGGAGTGGAGGCTGAAGAAACCAAGAAAGCACAAGTAGAGAATCAGATACTAGAGAACGATGGTGTCGAGAAAACAGATGGTGATGACAAGGACGATGATGAAGGTAAGAAAAGGAAGGATGCCAAGGAAAGCAAGGAAGCTAAAGGGATTCGCACATTTAAATTTGCACTTGTGGAGTTTGTTAAGGAGATCCTGAAACCCACATGGAAAGAAGGTCAAGTTACCAAAGATGCTTACAAAAACATAGTGAAGAAAGTAGTCGATAAAGTTACTGGTACTATGCAGGAGGCTGCTAATATTCCTCAAACACAAGAAAAAATTAACCAATATTTGGCATTTTCGAAACCAAAGCTTAGCAAACTTGTTCAGGTGAGTTCAAGCACATAACCTTCCACTCTTTTCTTTCTGTCAATTTACCTTACTGTTACATAATTTATAACCATGGCAGGCTTACGTGGAAAAATTTCAGAAGGGCTAAATAAATGGAGCAGGAATTGTCATGAATGCCATGTTTATGATTCTTCCAGTGTTGAGCAAGCTGCCAGTGGTTTTTCGAGGCAATTATATGCTTCGGCAGCTTCTAAACAAGTTATTTCTTTTCCCTTTTATGTATGTTAGATGTTGGAAACGAGTTTGCCTAGTTGTCAACTCATAAATGTAGATATATGGAAGTTCTTTTTCTTTTTCGTCTTTTGATTTAGTTTAATAGTCGGCGTTTGCACATTCTCATAATGATTTCATATGGTGCTAGTAGAACTGGTTGACATAAGGTTATTCTACTGACTTTTAACATTCTTCTTATGTACAATATTCTCTTTGCCTTGAAATAATCCATCGGTCTTTCAGTATTTGATTTTTGATCACTGTTATAGCTGTTTTACTGCAAAAAAGTTGAGCCTGATTATTGGGTTAGGAAAATAAAGCAGGATTCGGAGAGGATTAATGAAGAAATTTTGCATTCTCTTGAAGTGTTTGATTTAAATAGGCCAAGTAAATGCTCGACGAGGAATACTGGGAAAATTTTGGGGTTGGGGATGGGGGAATGATGCTCTGGAATCAGGCGAGGAGAACTTGAATCTCAAAAACATCTTGTTTGGGGCGAGTGATACATTCCCTTTGTGGGGATTACCCATCCTCTTTTCGGTGGCTAGGGGTGAGTAACACATTCCCTTTGTGGGGATTACCCATCGGCCGACGGGGGTAAGTTTTACTTTGGCCCTAGAAATTGGCAGTCCTATACTAAATGATACGAGTTTATCTCGTTATTTGTACGTCTATCTTATAATTTCTCCATGATTTTATATTATTTAGAAAATCAACTAAGGGTATTTTAGACATTTCTTGAAATTTGGCAAAAAAAAATATTTTACTAGACCATACCTCGGGGACCAAAGTGGATTAACGCGGGTTTTGGGGTTTCTATGTTTCTTCGCACACCCTTGAGAGTGAGAGGAAGGAATAGAAATTGACCTTATTTAGAAAGATTGAAATAACTAGAATCTCATACTCTAACAAACCCTAAAGAGAGTTGAAACTTCTTCAACCCAAAACACCAAGGAAAAGTATCGCACCAACAGAATCTAACAAGATATTTTTATAAAGACCTAATGAAGCAGAGTCTTCTCCTTCCTACTTCTCTTCGCTTCGTGCTCGCTCTGCTACTCAAACCAGACAATGCTAAAACCCTCATTTTCGTCACCTTCAATCTCAGCTCTCTCATTGCGCGCGCTTTTCTTCTCTCTTTCACTCCATGTAGTCCTTTTCTTCTTCTTCTTCTTCTCTTCTTCTTCTTCGATCTGACCTGCCAAGAAAGTTCGCTGCTTGGGAACTTGTTGTTTGGGTTTTTCTTTTTTCCTTTTGTTTGTATTTCTGAATGAGAGTTGAAACTACGCAAACGAACAGTGAAGTGTTGATCTTCAATAGGGTTTTTTTAGGGTTTTCTGGGGTGGGTTTGTTGATCTACTGAAAGGGAAGTTATTAATTTTGAGTATTGGGAGTTTGAAGTGGGTTAGGATAGTTTCTGCTAGAAAACCGGTTTTTGCTGTTTAGCGGGTGGTGTAACGGTTTTTCTTTGAGTTTAGGCGCCAATTCCTGTTATGTTGCTGGATGTAATTTCATTAGTGGAAATTATTGTTTAATGTGTGAAGATATATTTTTGTATTATGATTATATGAATTCGCAAGTGTGATTATGGTTATGTTGTAATTTAATTTAGGTCGGAATATTGAGCTTCTGAGTTAATTATATAAGTGCATTGACAATCTACTCGGCGATTGACTTATTTTATAGTGCATTTCAATTACCAGGAATTGACGTACTGTATCCATAGTAGGTAGCTAATGGATAAATTTTCTATGCCTCTGTTTGAGTCTTTAGTCTTTATCGTTATGCGCCAGGTGAATCTTTGAGGAGGGAGACTGGGTTATTAGACTAGGTTGTGCTTTAGTTCTATTGTGTCTCCATAAGAGTACATTTACCTGGGTGCTAATATTAGTATAATTTTTCTGCAGTATATTAACAAGGTCAATGATGGAGGGTTATCAAGGCATTCAAAAGTGACTGATGCGATTACTTTGCAATGGCATCTCCTCCACAAGAAAATTTTTGGATATTAGCACAAATAAATGGATTGTTTCATTTTGTTAGAGTGGAGACATACCAAAAATTTTGAGATAGCACCATAATACCTGAGTCATAGTTCAAGACAACTAATCCAACACTAGAGAGCTTTGACTGACATTTTTGGTGCTCAACTGGTCAGGCCATGAGCAGCTGGGAGGCTATCATAATTGCTAAAGCAATAACGGGTTTATTTCTGTTGCCCTTAGAGATAGTGGAAGTCTGTCTCTGCCATGATGAAACGGGAATGGGCCTGCAAGCATAGCATATTTATGCTATTGAAAATGCAAAAATTGAATTATTTGTGCGTGACTTTGGTTGATCATATGCTAGTTTTGTTACTTTATTGCTGTGAAGAGGGAGGATGTTTAGAAAGCTTGAAAGAGCACGGCGCATGAAACCTTTAAATATGAAAGTTCCTAGCAGGTATGGAGTGGGGGTGTACGTTATCCAGTTTGTGCTGGAGGATTGGAAATTGACATAAATCCTTGCTTGTGGTGACAATATTTGATGATATTGGGGAAGATAATTGAATGCCATCCTAGTCATAGAAGTAGTGGTTGCTTTTGAGTGGAGACACTACTATACATTCAATAAGTTAGCTTTTTGAGCCTGGTTCAGAGGAAATTGATGTGAAATTAGTCATTCACGGTTGGCTGTACAGCTAAGAGATGCCTTTTGTCTGTAGCATTTGACTGGTGATTGGTAGTTTTTCATTTTTTAATGTTCTTATACTTCTAAGGGATGCTTTTTACCGTAATTTGCAGGATGACTATGGTGTAGTTCTTGCTTAATAACATGATTGATTTATGCGATCTATCTATTACCAGTCTAGTTCAAGTTTTCTAATCCAAGTTGGATTTAGGGGATAGCTTCAAGAGTGCCCTTCAATCTTATTTTTGTGGTATCTTTCATCTATTATTAAAAAAAAAAAAAAAAAAAAAAAATTTTTATCCATTTTATGATCCTTATTGTATCCTGAAACTAAAGAAAAAAGTGATGTTTTTTTTTTTTTTTTTAAATCAAGTAGGCTATATAAGTTTTTTTTTTTTTTTTTTTTTCTTTCAAGTGTAGACTTTGAGGGGGTGTTAATATTGTAGTCATCAGATGTAACTTCGTTGCAGAGGAGAGTTTTTTTACTGTTCTATTATTTGCTCTTCTGTAGTCTAGTACTAGTCCTGAAATTCTAATTATTTTTGTGGCCTTGTCCATTGACTCTAGAAGTGTTGGGTGACCCGTTGAATGGATAAGAAAATATTATGTAGTGTCTCTGACTTGAAAATTGTTTGGGATTAAATGTTTGCTCAACACTGCACTAGAACAGTTGCAGATTTGAGAACACAAGGATTAAGATGAAGATGGATGTTATTATTTACCTTGTTAAGACATGTTTTTTACTTCCTCCAGATATACTGGTTTTGTCAAAGTGAAGCTGGACATACTTCTGTAACGTGATGAGTGGGAGTAGCAGAAAACGCATCTAAATGGGATGAAAAAGAAGTCCCAACATTCACATGAAAATGATCGAGACAATGCTTGGCCTCGGAAAGCAGGTATATCTTTCATGACAAAGAATCACGGTCGGATGGTTTTCCCAAGGGTGGTGGATATATAGGCCACAAGTGGTCCTCTAGGGAAGAGACATGCTGAAATCAAGGCGTGATTCACGATTTCCATCTAGGGAACCTTTGCCTGGAAGCAGAGGTTCACTGAAGGAGGAGATCGATGACTATCGGAAAGTTTCAGAGCCACAACTGCATGGGATGGAGAAGGGGATTACGCATGAAAATGTCTCCTGGCCTTGATGACTGGAGACAACATCGTCGCACTCCCCAAGAAGTGATTGGAATGGACCTCACAGGTCTGATTATCTACTTAATGGAACATATTGACCAATTAATTCCTTTTGTAAATTCTTATTTTATCTTGATTTCTATTGTGCTTTATAAACGGCTTCATTATTACATGCTCAATTATCTGTTATATAATACTCCTTGATGATATTAATAACTCTGAACACAAACAATTGCTTCCCTAAACTTCTCTTTTGAAATTATTGTGGTGTGTTTCCTGTTTTATTTATCTGTTTAAAGTCTTAATTTGTCTGATGTTTTTTTCTTGTTAGTTCCATTTTTATACTTGATTTGTGATTTGTTTGTTTATTTCAGGATTTTCCTATGAATAATGGGGTATATGAAGTTTAGTATTGGAACAGTGTATGTTTTTCCTCCCTGAGATGTTTCAGAATTATTGGTTTCTTACATCTGCCTTTCTTTGATGTTATGTGCAGAAGAGAGAAGCCGCAGCCAGAGCCGGAGCCGGAGCCGAAGGGGAATCGGAGTAGAAGCCCAGTCCGTGGATTGGCAAGAATCAGACATTATGTCAGAAACAGGGAAGATCAGGAGTATCAGCCAATTATGTAAAGATTTTGCTGCTGGGAGTGTAGGAGAGGAAATAATTGTCGTTTTCTCATCATAGTAGTGAAAGTATGAGGAGAGTAGGGAAAGTAGACATAGGAAAGTGGAGCTCCATATTTCCATTCCTCATGAATCAGGGAGTATCCAATGAGAGTGGAAGAAAAAAGGGATGCATCTTTGGAGCGGGGAGGTGACCATGATTCCCGTAAGAAGGTGATATACCCTGCAAATTCTTTGCTGCGGGAAATTGTCGCAATGGGAAAATTGAGATTTTTCATGTGTTCAGGCAAGTCCTAATAGAAGGTCACGGGATACAACTTGGTGCGGCGAAGCCACATTTAGATGACAAAGTAAATTATGGATGGTCCACGTGGAGTGACACCAACACATTACTGATACTGTAAAGTTGAGTGATGAAAAACTTGAAAGGATGGGTGACAGAAGGGCAAGGGATGATAGGTGGTCACGGAGCCATAATTCAGATGAACAGGAGAAAGTATGGGAGGGTCCAAAATGGGGTGGTAAAGACAAACCAACAGATACTGCAAAATTGATTGAGGATCGCCAAATACAAGACTAAACTTTTTGACTTTTTTTTTTTTTTTTTTTTACATTAAGTAGCCTACAATCCTTAACAAAACATAAGTCTACAATACTTGACTTTTTACAAAGGATACGGGAGATATAACATTGAGATGGCCAATTGCCATTTAGTCCACACAACGCAACTTGAAAATGAATATAA